GTCTAGGGGAGTGTCAGCTGAATTTTCATAGAGCTCCCAGAGATCCTCCTTAGTTGTTAAGCTAATCAATGATATAGCCTCAGGCTGTCATCTTCAGCCTGGCTTAAGCTCTACAGAGAGGGGCAAAGTAATTCCTGCTGGTGGGACTATTGTTTCCCCTCAAACTGATTCCATTTGGAGAGGAGTGCTCTACCAGAGAAAGATGGCTTCTGCAGTATGGGGAATGACTCAGTACAAAGATCCTGGTGGCTATTCCTTCAGTTCTTTCCCCAGAGCCACCATCCCTAGACTTTCCTCATATGACTCCAATCTACTCTGCCCTCCCTCTGCTAGAGCCCAGGGTTAAGTAGCTGCAAACAAATTTTTGTGTGTTGGCCCTTTCAGAGTCTCTCTGAATCTCTAGCCATCTCTCCCTGGCAGATAGAAACCCTGCTGCTATTCATAGCTGGATGCTACCTGGGTTCCTTTATGGCACTGGCATTATAAACTGGGTAGCCCAGCTTGGGGTTTAGACCCCACACTTCTCAGAGTGAACCTCCCCACCCCAGCCACTGAAATATCCTTCTGTAACTTGAGCTGCCACACATGGGAGCTCAGCCAGTCTTCTCATGCCACCTCTGCACTCCCTACCAGGTTCATTGTGGTGAAGTGGTTTCTTCTGTCTGTCCTTGGTTATAAGGCTTTGCTCCAGCTAGTGTTCAGCTGCTTATTCAAGATGATTTCTCTACAATTTAGTTGCAATTTCTAATTGGTCCCAGGAGGAAGTTAGTGCAGCTTGCACTTAGCCACCATATTGGATCTCCCCTTGTTTTTATTTCTTTCTGAATTCCCTTCTTTATATGGTCCTTGTTAATGGCACTCACTAGTGGTTTGTGTGGTAATGGTTAGTTACTAGTGGCCTGTGAGCTAATGCTGGTAGTGGCCGGGAGGAGCCAAGGAAAGGGGTGGCAGAGCTTTCATGTTGTTGTGAAGCTCTGGGTGGCCTCTCTGTTCCCTTACTTGGTTTTTCATCTATTCTCCTACCTTCACTACACATTCTCTCTTACCTGGATGAAAGAAGCTTTAAGGTGGATCCAAGACAAGCAGGCCATATGGCCAATCGTGGTATTTAGCTGTCAGCAAGAAGCTATGAAAAAAAGGATGGTGTTATTTCTTTTTACTACCTGTGGGGTAACTTCAGGACATCAAGGCTAAGTGGTACCCTAATAACATGGAGGACACACGCAGGCTCCACAGGTACAAAGTGTACAAGTGGGGACTGGCTAATTAAGAGGGATTGTCTGCCTCTTTAGAAAGAATCATGTTTAATTACAGTGAAAAAGGTCACAATACAAGGAGTTTCCGCAAATGTCAGCCTCATGGTCACAATCTTGTACTCCCTGAATTTTCCCTCCAATCTTTAAGTCCTGCCACCGTGATGCCTGTAATGAGGAAGAGGAAGAGACAGGATGCAGCTTAAGTAGCCAGCTGTCATTCGGTAGCATTTAACTACAGAAACTACCACCTGCTACTTTGAGGATCATTATCCAAAGTAGCAAGAATATGGTTCTTCCAGAAGTGACCCCAGATAAACAATCACCCTTCTTCTCCCCACAAAAACAAAGTCAGAAAATAAAGGCTAAATGAGCCTGATCCAGATTCAGTATTCTAATATGTTAATACTTAATGTATTATTACAGAGAACTTGGCATGGTGATGAGATTCACAACAATGTCTCTGACTGATTATTAAAAGTTTTTGGTCAAAAAGTATAAAAATTGGTTCCCACTCCCTCTAAATTAAGCTGTTTTTTTTTTATAAAGTATGTAATGTAGAATTTGAATAAATAAAGACCAAATGCCTTTTTGTAGCTGGGGTATCATCCATGATGTTTTCAATTTTAATAGCTACTTAAATATGTCGAGATCTATTTAAGTTCAGACAAGCACAACTAACACTGAAGTCAGTTCTTTAAAACTAGAATGACTAGATTTGGGTGATACTTAGTAAATTTGTGCTTATGTATTTTTCTGAGCAAATGAACTGAAATAATTATAAAATTGAAACGTTTTATAAGGTGACACTACTGCATTTAATTGTATGAAATTTACTGTGGAGAAAATGTAATCATTTTATTCAGTAGTCCATGGTATAATTAAGACTATTCTTTGAGGTATCTTGTATTTATGATTTTTCTCTTCCACCTGGGTGACACGTCTCAAATTCAAAATTATACATCAATTAGGTATATTCTCAGAATTTTTTGTAAGGAGCCTGTTTTCTAATATCATATACATCCCTGGTTTTATTATCTACAGAGATGCTTTTGCAATTAGAGCCTAGAAACAGAAGCAGGGACACAGATAGTGCTCTGGACGTCTTCCATTTTATTTGGGAAAGGGACCACACAGGATGAGCCACGGTTTAATAATAAGTAATGCTGCAGGATGTAGTGCGTGATGTGCAGTAAAGATCCTCTTAAATTCCCATCAGAGCACACACCGTGAACTGTGCTAATGGATGGAACACATTTTACAAAATCTGCATGTGTGAGGCTTTTCCATCTTGTTTTAAGTGGGGCAATGTATATAAATAATAGATATTAGCAATTAGGCATCCATTCCTATGCACTCATTTATACATTTGAAAATAAATTAACCACAAACTACACGAAAGTGGATGCAATCTTCTCTTTTCCCTTCTGTTTCCCCTGCTGTTTCTGAAAGATATTTCTGTATTTATCTCAGTACGAACAATGACCCAAGCTCTCAATTTCTGCATCCTTAAATTAATTACTATCAAAAATCCTCTAAAATAAAGTGAGTCTGATTTAACTCTTGATTTCCTTGATATTGTCCTTTAACATAATGAGAGTTTCTTATCACTATTTGTGGGCCTTAGTCTAGGTTTTTTTTTTCTCTCTCTCTCTCTTTTTTTTTGTCCAGATATTCAAAATTCTCACCTAGATGGGAGGATTTTTTCTAATGTGGAAAAGGAACTTGGGTTATTACCTATATTGTTAGCTGAAAACTGGAATGTCCTGGGTGATAGTGGCCCGAGCCCAGGCCTTAAGAAAGCAATAGAATCAACTGTCCTCATGATTCTTTCATACTCTTTTAAAGAAAAAGTTATCAGTTATTTTCCTGCCTGAAAGTCCTGTGTATCAGTAGCTATTTTAACAAAGTTGTCATTTTGGCCCTTCCCTGAGAATGTAAGTGTTCAGGTACCATGCTAGCTACCTTGGCCTTTCTCCCTCTCCCATGATCCTTGATATGACAAATCAGAGTGGCTCTGCAGCTGTGCTGTGTTACACAGTGTGGATATGTACAATGGCAATTTCTAAATCTGGGATCAAACAACCAAGCTCTATTAGAAGTAAAATCCACTCATTCTTATTTTCATTCAGATAGTATCTGATAAAATGCTCTGGCATCAAAATATTTTTGCAGATAACTCTCTTGTGTTGCCTGTTTTCCTATTTGGCATCAAACTCTAAAAGCCAGAAACATAGGCATTACCCTGGATTCGAGGTCACAGCCTGGCAGTTTACAGGTCAAAGGTGGCCCAAAGCTATTGGAGGTGTTTGGAGGTTAGTAAAAGAAATATAATAGAACTAGTCCATGACCAGATAGCTTAGTTGGTTACAGTGTTGTCTTGATGCACCACGGTTGTGGGTTCCATCACTGATCAGTGCACATAACAAGAATCAACTCATGAATGCATAAGTAAGGGGAACAACAAACTAACATCCCTCTCTCTCTCTTCCCTTCCTCCCTGTCTCTAAAATCAATCAATAAATAAAAGAATAGAACTGTAGTCAACACTTAAAATTTTAAAGATATCATATAACATTCTATGTCTGGCAGCTTTTGGCCTATATTTCCTCTGGCAAAATCGGTTGGAGCTGAGTAGAGGCAATGCTCTTGAACTTGCCAATCCTCACCAAACCCTGTTGCTTACTTCCAGTTTACTTCATTATTCACATTATCTCCTGGTGACTGCAGACAGTCATTTCTGTAGCTTAAGGTCTAAAGCATCCACCACATTTGTACAAGTTACCAAATATAAAATGTGCATTAGGAATATTTTTTCCCTTACTTTCTAAAACTGTAATCATAACAAAAATAAAAACTGAATAATGTTATATGACAGGTTCTATATGATTGCTTTATACATGTTATCTCATTTGATCTTCAAAACACCCTATTGGGTGTTACTAGTTCCATTATATAACTCAGAGACTAATATTCAGAGATGGTAAAGAAAACAGTTTTATACAGTTAATAATTTTCAGAGCCAAGAGTTAAACTGATGTGATTTCAAAGTTCCTCTTATAGTTTATTTTAAAATATTTTCTATTTTTCAAAAAGTAAACATGAATTTAAATACAGAAAAGAAACTACACCTTATTGCATTTTCCTTTGAGAAACTCCTTCTAGCTTTCTTTAAACTTTTGTAGTGTTCAATGTAAAAATCATCCAAATCAATTTAAATTGGCTTTGTAAATCTAATGTACCTTTTTGTCACATGCAGGGATGGTTTGCTGTAGATTTGCACTGATCATAATACTTAGGAAGTGATATTACCTAGAAGAACCAACCCTTTTCACAGGTTGTTGATATAAGCATCTTGATATTTTATATAGTCTGTATTTATTTCAATACTGTTCCACTCTGCCTTCTTCTCCTCTTTGCCTAAACAGTTACAGATATGAAAAAAGAAGGTCTGCCATTTTTCTTTACTCACTTCACAGCCCCATAGAAAGGATGATTACACCTCACCCCAACACTTTAAAACACTTTACCCCCCATTTCCAGCTTTGAGAACAAACAATCTGCCAAGCACCTTGTAATTGCAAAGTGACCTTGACATGTGTCATTCACCAGGGTTTTCAAATCAAAGTTTTTCTGTTTAATATTCATAAAGCCTTTTTTTTTTCCCTCATAGCATATGTGATGATTTTACAGGGCCTGGGGGTTGGGGAGCTTTATTTAGAGATGGGTTGACTGTGAGAAACATACCATCAGTGTCTCTCTGATGAGCTGAAGTATCAGTTTGAAGGTAAGAAAATTTTGTCTGGCATTCTTCAAGGGAGGACAGTGATGCAGTGGATTCTGACAGTTTTTTCTCAGTGGAAGTTTCCTTGGCTGGTCCATCTGTGATATTGAATTCGGATACTGAATTTATAATGATAGCATTAATGGGTTTCTCTTCTGCATGTTTTTCATTTGTGAATTGTGTATCTAGATGAAAAAAGAAAAAAAAACACATACATCAACTCAGCATAGTTGACACAACCTAGTGATGTAAGAATGGCTGTTTGCAGAAAATGTCATATTCTAGACTTTTATAAGAATAAAGTATTTTTTAAAAGAATTAGCAGTTACAAAATAGTCTCTGGGATGTAAAGTCCACTGTTGGTAATATAGTCAATAATATTGTAATAACTATGTATGGTGCCAGGTGGGTACAATAAATATTGGAGGCAACACTTTGTAAAGTTTACGATTGTCTAAACACTATAGTATACACTTGAAACTAATACAACCTAATATTGAATGTAAACTATAACTCAACATTTTTTTAATAAATTGAAAAAAATGAAGCATTTTTGAGCAAGAAATTTTTAATGAAAATACAAATAAGAATAAAAGAGTGTAATAATGATAAAATTTTACACACATTCCAAGTTTTATCTATCATAGTGATTTGTAACATGTTTCTACTGTGGGTTTTTTAATGATGGGTAGAGAGAATCAAGGAATTCATTCACTTGGATCAAACAAATCCTGTAGTATGTTGTCAGGTTACTGTCATAGTGTTTTATGGCTCTAAGAAGTGGTTAAAGGGTCTTCAAAGCTGGGCAGTACTTCACAGTAGCAGCACCTAATCTCAACCAAGTTGTTTTATTTCTTTGTTTCTCATTTCTATTTCCACTCTCAGAGACTCTAAGTTGCTACCCTTTCCTTTTCTTTGGTGTTTGTTAGGTCCCTATTCAGGTATAGTCTATGTGGTTTGGGTGGGGTGATTCTTGGACACATGCTGTATTTTCATATAATCCCCTGGAAAAGCTATTAGAAATGTTCAGGGAACTTTTAGCAAAGTCCTTGACTGAGACTGTGGTTTGTACTGGCATAGAGGAGGCTGAGAAGGCCCAGGTGCTTCATGTTTTAAATTCCTGTACTTGTTCATTCATTTCCACATAATGATTGAGGGTCTGCAATATAACAAGCAGCAGGCTGGCATTCAGGGTATAATGGTGACTAAGGCGTAGTTCTTGGTTTTCACAAGCATCAAACAAGTTAGTAAAAATAATTGCTAAAGTTACAGTGTTGAGGAGTGCATGAAAAAGAAGCACATCACGAAAGCATTTTATAGAGAGAATCAGACTGGGTAATGGTGTAGTTAATTTATTACTTTCCTATACTCACTAAACAAAAAATCCTAAGATCGAGAGAGGAGTTAACAGAAGATCATTCTCAAATGTATGGCCACGCTGACTCCTGGAGACATCTTAAGAGCTCAACAAACAATCGTTTTGGTGATTTGGTGGTACTTTTGGGGGGAATCGGATATGAATTCTGGCGAATCGCACTTCCATTGATGTCCCAATGCCTGCTTGATTCAATAATGCTCATTGAGTGACTGAAATAAATAATGCAGTTGGCAACCAGGTTTGATTTTACCATGCTCAAACAGTTCAGTGAAAGAAATATGTTCTTGCCAAGTCCATATTCATCATCTTTTCAAAAGCTGCTTCTTAGTCTGGGGCAGATGGAAATCTTTACTTGGTCTTACCTCCTAGGGCAGTGATTTCCAGACTAGTCTTCAGAGTAAAATCACCTGGGAAACCCTTTAAAAATTTGGATTTTTTTAAAAGCTCAGGCAACCCCTTCCCTTAATCCCACTCAACAGATTAGATCACAGTCCCTGGAGGATTTTCAAAGCTCCCCAGGTGACTCCAACATGCAGACATGTTGGGAACCACTGCCACAGGGGTCTTCTGCTTTGGAGGGTAGAGAAAGGAAAGAGCGATCCACTGATCTGTGTACAAGGGATTTTTAGAAGCCAGTTATGAGCATGGTGCTCTCCAAAGAGAAGATCCTAACTGGTGTGGGAGCTAACAGTATGGTATACACAATTGTCTTAGACCATTTTTGTTTCTTTCAGTCTCCAAAGAGCCTTGGCTTTCAATAATGTTTAATTTGTATTCCCTATCCCTTATGATGCTGGCTTTGTATCTCTTAGTTTCAGTTTGATTCACCCTAAAAAGGATTGGCAGAAATAAGAATTCAGTAAAACAACTATCTCTGATAGTTATTAAAGTAATATCAAATAGATAGAATTAGCTCAACAGATTGGGAAGCTCTGGGCTTCCTCTAAAATAATTAATTTATTCTTATTTGGGTACCAAAGTGTCCACTAATCAGTTAGTGTCACAAACAGAAAGCCATTTAAATTATGTCTCAGAACACTTTAGAGCAGTATTTTGAACCAGATAACTGTTTGTCATGGGGAGATCATAGGATGTTTAGCAGCATCCCTCCACCTACTAGATGCCAGTAGCACCCATCACCCTAGATTGTGCCAAACAAAAATATCTCTAGATATCACTAAATTTCCCCTATGTGGCAAACCATCCAGGTCAAAACCAAAGCACTGCTTCTGTATGCATGCACACACAGTTGCATGCATTTATGTCAAGCTCTCTGTTACCACTTTTTACAAGGTGGGGCAAAAGTAAGTTTATAGTTATAAGTATGCAAAACATAGTTTACTCATATTATTGTTTATTAATAATTGTATTATTTTTCATATTAACAACTATAAGCCTAATTTTGCACCACCCGGTATAATTAACTTAACAAAACTTTGGTAGGTAGATAGTGTTAGCTTACCTGGACACAAGGGAAATGTATGAAGTAGTACCCCCAGTTATCAGATGAATGAGTATAACCAAGATTCACTTTATAAGTTGCCTCAAAAATCTTCTTTAGTAAATGGTAGAACTGAGATTTGAATCCAGACCAAAACTTACAAAAGCTTTGCTCTTATTGTCTTTTATATTACACAATATTTTCTCTGATTTGTTTGTAGCTTCTATCTCTTCTTCCTAACCACTAAGACTGCACATCAGCAATATGTTCTTCACCATAAATCCCATAATGTGTCACTTGCCCACAATGAAGCCTTGCAAACAACTTTACAGACATACCTTTCATGAAACAGTCCTAGCAAAACAAGACTACATTTTTGCATACTCTGGGAAACCTTCCCTTCAGTTACAGAGACTTTCTACTGTGCAGTCATGAGCAGCTCAGAAAGAGCTGATACGTAGCGAAACTTGATAAGTATGGAGATTGCAGCAGCTCTTTGCTTACAGAATTAATTAACAATCAGTTCAAATTATCACACGTAGTCAGGCTGCATAGAATTCAAATTACTTTTTGCACAAAGTAATTCAGTAACAAAAAAAGTTGGAAAGAAGTTACTGAAATATATAAGAACATGCAGAGAATAAAGTATATAGCCAAGTAGTGCATGATCCTCTTTGGAATTTTTGCAACAATTTTAAGTATAGCATTTTGAATCTAAGTGCTGTGCTACATTAAGCAACCATTTGGAGATACTGGGCTTGTACTGAGACAATTTTATGTAGAACTTAAACTGCCATTCATAAAGTCATTCTAATTCTATCTGTTTATATTTTTTATTTTTCTATTCCCTAGCGGGAACTATCTGTTGCTCATTAGAAAATCATCTGACAAACACACATATCGGAACCCAGTCTGTTCAATCCAGAATTCTAACATCTGAAGTGAATCACAGTTTTTGGGTGAATGTTACTAACATCTTCCATCTTTTATACATGGAATGCTAACAATAATTTCCCTAGATTTCCTCTTTTATGTGTTATTTAATTGTACCCAAAGTATTATAAAGTAGAAGCTAAGAGGAGAAACACATAAAAAGTGGTATCACATTTTCTGCAGCGAGAACTATTTTGGAATTAAATAAGGAACACATAAAACTATATTTGGGATATTATGGATAGGTCTTGACATTAATGTAGAGAAAATAATTTTTCAACAGAAAAACACCAATGTTAGGGCAAAAATTAGAAGCTCAATGGTATTTCTTAGGGAAAAAAATTAAGTGTATCTTGAAAGTCAGTGAAATAGAAAATTCGTGTTTGGGTTAAAAGTAATTGCACAACCAATGGGCATAAACTTAAATATCTGAAAAGACAGACAATTAATTTTTTATTACCATTGAGCAAATGCTATTCATTTAATTCAATTAACATTTATTGAGTAGCCACATGCAATAGATAAATCAATGTGACAAGAACGATTAATTTATTTACTTTAAGTTATTAAGGAAATATTTTAATGATTTTTGTTTTTGCTCAATAAATGTGACTGTAATTTTTTCATCCATGTGCTCACTGAATGTATATATCTATGTTCATATATATATCTATATACACACATACACAAACACACACACATTCAAATGAAAAATAGCATCTTAATTTCTCCCTTCCCTAGCTCCTCTGATTCTATTCTTGTTAATCCCTTCCTTTCCCTTCACCTTTCTCTCTCTCTCTCTCTTTCTTTTGGTTTAATTCTTTGACTAACCTGTCTTGTCTCTATTGGTTCATTGTTTCCCCTTCAGTTCTTCAACATATTTACTTCTCAAGACTTTGTCCTCTTATAATAGTTTCTCTATTTGTACCTTACCATTGAAGATTATATTTGTCCACACTTACAACTTAATTATTTTCTCTGTACTGTTGGTCCCCAAATATATGCAGTCAGCCAGCCAGTTAGCCAGCCAGCCAGCCAGCCAGACCACATTTATTGAACATAAGCTGTGTGCCTGACCCTAGGCTAGGTGTGAGGAATTTGATGGGGGGAAAGGGACTAGGTGGAGAGAGGCAAAGGGGGAAAGATGGAGGCAACTGTAATAGCATACTCAATAAAATATAATTAAAAATATTTTAATTATACCAAAACACTATTGGTCCTCAGGAGACTTACAGTTATCACAAATAGCAGCCTCATACTTGTAACAGACTACTGAATATTTTATTTGACTTACTAGCCAAATTGTTACATTTATTATGTCTCTTTCTACTAAGCCACTCATTCTTTTCCCCTAACTGGGTAACTGTATGCTATTGAAGAACTCAAAATTCAATTTATTTTTATTTTTCCAGTTTCCTAAGCTTAAAAGTACT